CTTCGATATAACTCCCTGGGAGCTAACAAATCCGTATATTCTAGAATATATGAGCTTTTCAAAGATCTTACCGAAGACGGACAGTGTGGAGATAGGACGGTAGTTCTCGATTTCTTCTGGGTTACCTTTCTTATATACAGGTGTTATTTTACCAGTTTTCAGGACATCAGGAAATATACCTTGGGTCATAAGGATATTGAAGTAATTCGATAATACAGGTGCAATTACATGAGATGACTTTTTTATTACACTTATGGGAATGTCACTGGCTTTACCATTTTCGAACTCTCTTATGATTTTCAATATTTCGTTCGAGGAGCAATCTTCTAACCTAATATTTTTTTCATTTCTTGGGTTCAGGAAGTCATAGAAAGTTTTCATGGGTAATATAGGCAGGCCATTAGATAGATTATTCAGTGTCTCATTCAGCTTTGGTGCAATAGAGACAAACCAAGCATTGAATCCATTAGCAATTGCTCTTCTATCAACTATTCTTTGGTTATCAATGATAAATGGGGGCTTGGTTTGCCTCTTCTTTTTGCCTCTGAGTTCGTTAATAATTTGCCAGGTTTTCTTGCTGTTTTCACAGTTGTTTAGAATTTCGTTACAGTAATGCCAACGTTTGGCAGCTTTAATGATAGCTTTGAGCATCCTACGATAATCACTAAATACTTGGTATAGCAAGATATTACCACCAGGGTTCTTATTGGTAACGGTGTCAGACCACTCCTTACGTAGTTCATGCTTTCTTTCTACAGACTGGATGATACTGTCTGTAATCCATGGGTTAAGTTTGGGAGTTCTTTTTGTCACTTTCGGTACCTCCAGTTTGCAGTGTTTGTCAAGTGTCTGGTCAAAACATGCCGTAAACTCATCAAATTTTGTTGAAGGAGTGAGCTGGTTTACCTTTACCTCAAGTTCAGTTACAAAGCTTTTCAATTTGGAACTTGAGTAATCATAATAGCGGACATGTTTCTGAGGCTCTGTACTGCGAGGGGTCTCTACTGAAGTGAAGGTAAATATAGGGGCATGCTCACCAAGCCGTTCTTCAATAACACCTGATAAGACTATATTCTCAATTTTATTTGTTAAAATGTTATCGATGCAGGAACTTTTACAGTTTTGACGAAAATGTGTTGCAATGGAGATAGTCGGGTAAAAGCCGTTTCTGTATAAAGTATCCTCAAAGAGCTGGGAACTGGTAGAAATATTAAGTATGTTTGAGTTAAAGTCTCCCAACAAATTGACAGTTTTCCCATTTAGCTGCTTTGCAAGTAGTTCCAGGGTTTCACAAAAGCTATCAAAGCAGCCATTAGGGGGTCGGTAAATGACTCCATGAACAATTTTGCTGCCTGCGCTATCTGTGGTTTCAACAAAGAGGCTCTCAATATTTGTAGTACAGTGTGATACGTTTTCTAAGACCACAGTATTTAAATGGTCAGATACATAGAGTGCAACACCTGTGCCTTTTTTCTTACCTGCCAATGTTTCTTGATAGAATCCTGTGTATGATGGAATTTGGTACAGGCCCTGCTGTGCAGGATCAGTATTGGTTTCAGCAAGACCAATCATATCAAACGAGTGCCCTATACTTTTGAGTTCAATTAGGAAGCTATCAAAGTTAGATGCGTTTCCATCTATATTGTAGAATAAAGTTGATAACATAGATTTTTTTGAGGAATTGAGCTGCTTGATTGCATTTAAGAACTCGAGTTTAGAGTAGCGACGGCAACGTTCAAGTACAAGGGCATATGATGCAATTAAGGCATCTTCCTGGTTTCTATTATCATAAAATCTATCAGAATCTATAGATTCCTCATCAGATGGAAATGGGCAGTACCGTTCCTCTGCAGAACTGGCACACTCGCAGCACATCCATAGTCCATTTTTGCATGAGTATTTAGCTGATTTGAAACACTTAGTATGGATGGCATTATTACAGTTTTCACACTCTAGTAAAGGTTGTCCGATGTTAATAGATCTACTACATGGCTCACACACATCTTTAATCATTTTCATAATCATTTTTACTAAGTGGGGTTGTTAGACCCCACTGACTGGTTGTGTTTTCCACGTCTTGTCCGCTCTTGCCTCTCTCTCACATACACCCAATGCTTCACACATCTCACAAATTTGGTAATACCATAAACTCCTAAATGAATATCATCACCACCTCTGGTCAGGTTGGTGGCAAGGAGTCCCCTACTATCTAAGAAGTGGCCAACTCCAAGGTGCCACACACTCTGGTTGAAGTTGGCACTTAACATTTCTCCAACAAGCCGATTGAAGGTCATAATGTTTTTGTTCATTTGAGGCAATCTTGATGGGAGGACTGCTGCGACGAATATTTTGATACTTGGGCAGAGCTTTCTTATCTGTTGAATCTTCAAGTGGAGAACGTCAACCAGCTGATGGATTTCATTCTCTCCTCTAAGGTTTTCTACCCGGAGGTCATTGGTACCACAAACGATAACAACGTTGCTGTACCCAATGCAGCGACAAGGGTCAATCAAACTGACTTTACCTGCCTTGACTCTTTCACCAGGGAAAGACTGGCCCATAGTACCAGCACCACACCCAAACTTGATTGTTTTGGTGTTCGAATCTCCCATAATGAGCGTGCTTCTTTTGAATTTGTTGTTAATGGCTCTAAGGGTAATGGAAAATCGTCCGTGTATGGCCGGGTTGACTTCAGTTTTTTGGGTGGCCTTGATTCCATGCTTGAACCAAGCTTGTGAGGAACGAGTCATAATATAGGCCGAGTTGGATTCCAGGGACATTTCAGTCATTTTTGTAGGTGAATGGCCTTCATGGACAGGTACAAAGCTTATCTTTCTTACTTCTCCTATTGAAATTGTGGCTATTTCGGAGTCAGCAAGTATTTCTTGCTCATCGTCACAGTGGAAGGGTAACATGCTTTCCTCAACCCCAGTGCTAGGAGGGAAGTAGTTTATGAGCACAGAGTTAGGCTTGTGTGTAAGTTTGCACTGGGAGGTGACTCTATCAATAGCAGCTGCTAATGGTGGTGGGATGGCTGGAGAGGAGGGGGCGTTTGTGTCTCCAGAGTATGTGTAGCTTTCTCCATATTTAAGGACTGACCTTCCGTTCATCTGGCTGAACTTACCAGCTTCTTTGCACTCAGTCAGAAAACTGGTGACCTCATCAAGCAGATTTTTGTCTAGGATGTCTACTTGGTAGTCCTTAATCGGCGGCATTACACATTTGGGGAGGGCTACTGTTGACCTCATCTCTTGTTTGACTGCTGCTGGAGGGCCCATTTGAGGGCTTCTGGATTTTTGGAAGGAGTAAATCTCTTCACTAAGTTGCGACAGTCTTGACTCAAGTGAAGATATCTCCACGGTGGGTATGCTGTTGGATACAGCACTCGAGATGGCATCAGATACAGCTTGGATGTTTTTGCTGTAGTCGACGCTAAACTTGAGAGCTTCATCCAATTTAGACGCGGTGCTGCTGTTTGGCTTGGGATGGATTGATGTGAAGCACCATGGACATTCCCAGTACTGAAGGATGGCATCAAGACCAATCTGTTGTGGGGAGCCACTTGTAATCTGGTTTGCTCCCTTGAGGTTGCTGCAGGAGGCGTGCCAATGCTGAGAGCATCTGCAACATTTGAGAAGCCATTCTTTGCCCTCAGAGCTTGCTCGACAGGGGCAGTTACCTTTAATGGCACGTTGCTTTGGACTTCCTTGATCTTTTTCTTCTTCTTCTGTATGGAAGGGTGGGAACGGTTTGTAAATAGGGCTCATAGGGCTATGAGGACTATCTCTTAGGCCACCAGGGTCGATTATGAGGCTTGGACTAATTTTTAGGGTCAGAGATGTAGGTGGCTGTAATGTTGATGGTCCCGGTGAAGCAACAGTAAGCAGCTTTTCAGTTGGCAGACTGTTTGATCTTCGCCGTCCTGAGATGTTGGCTGCAGGGTTCTTCTGATTAGCCTTGCTTGTGAGGGGGCTCTTTCTGTGAAGAGGATTAGTCACTTTAGGGGAATGAGGTGGAGTAGCCTTAGCCTTAACAGATGCTGCAGGAGAGTTGTTTCTGGGCGAGCGTCTGTTTTGTGGTGGTGGTGTTGGAATTCTCTTCATGACTGTGGATTGATCACGGGGATGTGCTGAGTGCCCTCTGGGCTGCCACCACCGGCGAATTAGCTGCACCTGAAATGAGTAGATCATGGGTGGACGTCTGATTTATAATGGAAAAAGGGGAACATTGATTACTTAAAACTGTATAATAACTAGTTTTTTCATTAGATATACCATAAAGAAGAATTGATTTCGATTGAAACATGATATATTAACAATAAGTTGCTTAAAGGGTGAATAGTTGGGTAGTTGAGGTGGTGGATGTTGTTGATTAGATTAAATGGTTTGATGAAGCATATGTATCGTTTGGAATTGCTTTATGGGTTTGAGGGTGAGCTTGACTATAATGCAGACTGGGGTTGGGTAAAGGGAATTGTGGGATTCCTGGGTAAGGAGACATTGTGGAAAGCTGGTTGAAGAAATAGCAATTGTAGTCGACGAGCTTGCCACAAAGGGATTTACTGTAAAACAAGCCACAATAATCAAATAATTTGGTTAAGGTTATACAATAATACAAGTTATGTAAGGTTAATGTATTGTAATTCGTTTGAATTTGGGTAAGAAACTTGTATTATATAATAACTATCCAATAAATCGAGACAAAGATACATAAATAAAGTTTACTAATCAGGAACTAATCAACAGCACTTTACACACAACAAATAATTTAAGGAAGAGACCAGCCAGAAGCCAGCAATCAATGTCAGGAGCTTTTAGGGAGGGGCAGTTTATGAGAGGATGGTGGTTTTATGTGTTGTGATGTGGAATTTCATAATCTACTCATCTTCAGTTGGAGCATCATCGCCGGCAGCAACATCCTTTTGGACACCTTCGCATCATCCCCCAGTGATCATTCTTTTACTCAGACATTGATTGCGGCTCGAAGGCTCGATCTACATCCTCAAATTATTTGTTATATAGTAGTGTTGAAAGTATTAAAACTTAATCTAATCTAATCTAATCCGGATATTCAGCTTCCAGTACCTTAATGGTGACTTGTATTACTGTACGCTGTTTAATATCCGTCCTGATTCGAGCATTTCTTTAAGTCCAAATAACACATTTTAATATGATCGTAAATTATTGTAAAGACCTTGAAACTTACAGCCCATTTACTACGGAACCTCCCACGGATTCTGTACCCTTATTTTAAGCTGTTTAGATTTAAGTTCTTGATATTCCGAGCATTCCAAGTGGTTAGTTTTGAATGGTCTTGACTGGTATTTTGATTGAGCCAGTCGGCCCATCTCCAGGTTTCACGATAAGGTGATAATTAACAAACTTTTAGAATTATTTACAGGTTAATGATCCAAGCCTGCAGGAATTTAAATCAGACTTTCACGTGCGCTTATTTTAGAATTTTTAAAGTAATAAGATCGTGTGAAGAAATATGTTACTGTGGAGATTTGCACGGAGACAAGTTTATGCTGTTCGAGTTTTGTGTATTTGCAACGTGATTTTTAAGACGAGTTTTCCCTTTGAAAGATAAGGAGGTTATCCCTTTGAAAGAGAAGGACGTAAGAATGTTTTGCAATATTGTTGTAGCATGTGATTTATAAGACGAGTTTTCCCTTTGAAAGATAAGGAGGTTATCCCTTTGAAAGAGAAGGACGTAAGAATGTTTTGCAATATTGTTTTAGTAGCAACGAGATTTACGAAGACAATTATAACACTTTTAAGAACGAGATCAGATAAATTGATTTGAATTTTTCACGGAATTCAGAGACATTGATAATGATATTGTTACGATTCAGACACGTGAATGACGTCATGAATGCGATAAGGAATTATTTATAAGGTCGTATTTTCATCCAATAAGTGGCTTCGGGCTATTGACTTTTGGGCTTCAGACCCTTGGGTCTTAGGGCTTGGTTCTAGGTTCTTGTCTTTTGAGCTCTGGGTTCTTGGTTCTTGGGCCTCGACTCTTAAGTCCCAATGTTTGACGTTTAAAAGTTTGTAAGTTCCAGTACTGAGGGTACAGAATCCTATACTGTGACTCATTTTGTGACAAGTAGTATTTATACTTTACTCCACTTCGCTTTACATTAGTTTACGAACTTGTCTCAATTGTCCCCTCTATCTCGAAAGTAAAGAAAAGCTAAAGACACCTCTGACCTCGCCTAAAACTCTCAACTTTAACTCCTTCTACCAAATTACCCCCTAAGCGCACAATTTGGTGGAGAACCCGGGCACTGAGTTGTACGCTGCAGTCTATTGGAACTCAGCCAACCGATCCCAAACGAGGTTATAATTTACTACATTAGTCATGGGAGATCCACTTGCTACATTAGAGTTGAAGACGACTTGGTCCTTATGTGGAAACTTCTTAGCCTCTCCATTACAGATTTCAGAAAATTCAAGAATTGACACAGTCCTGGAACCCTTGAACCCTCGAAGATCTTCAAAGTCCTAGCCTCTTGGACCTACCTGGTACAACACCTGGAAACGAATAAGCAGATTGTGTGCCATTTTGACACAATAAAGCTTATCCCTACAAATTAACGCAAAGCTGAAACTCCTAGTCAACACTAGATAACAATACCTTACAAGCACAACCCGATGAAACTAACATGCCTAAGTTGATGTAGCTAGGTTAGGATCCACATCTAACATTCTAACTAATTACTAATTAGTTTCGTCCACCTGAAGGATTATGACTTTTACTTACAGAAATGTCAAGGACTGATATCTTATGGTGATAAAATCAACAAATGTGATTGTTCATCTGGTCGGGTCCCAGCTAAGAGTAGTGGTTCATTGCAAGGAGTTGCTGCTTTTGCTGATGAACCCGCAGCAAATACTCTAGCTGTGATCTACCTCCCAGAGACCCCATTCTAGCATCACGATGACCCTTGTCAGTTGTTACGTTGATCGCTACTTGCTAGCTTTAGTTGATAATAAGCGAAGTATAGACTTGTCGAATTGATCCGAGCACTCTAGAGATATCAATTAGAAGAACCTTGATATGCAAAGGAACCGGCAATGCTACTGAAAAGATCACCAATGACGATGAGAACCACAAGATATCTGATCCGATGGACGAAAGTGAAAGGATGAAACTGATGTTCGGCACTGTTATGAAAATGGAAGCACCAACCAGCGAACCCATGAATGAAAACAATGCCCCGGACGCGGACCTCTCAGAGACTGAACAACTTAGGTACAACCCCAGACCAAAAAAGGATATTTTTCGCTCTTCAAAGGTTAGCCCAAGCTTTAATTTGCATTGTTCGCTCCATCGTCTCTCAAGTCTACTCTGGCCAAAACTGGTCCTGTCTCCCTTTCCACATGAAATTTTGAAAGATTCTGAAAGACACTGAAAGCACCGAAAGTTACTGAAAGACACTTATTACGACGGAAAGAACTATGAATGCCTATCTGGCTGGTTAACTCTACCAAGTAGTGATTCATTGACGAGGAGTTGCTACCATTAGTTGATGAGTCCATGTAGTAAATACTTGGAAGATTTGATCTACCTGTTGGTATAAGTAGTTTTGCAACGGCTGAAACTTTTAACTGTTTCGAACTTGATTACAAAGGTTGCACTTGATACCCATAAATAGTTAGACATTCCGATAGAAATGCTGATTTGAAAGTAAGAAAACGGGTCTAATGAATGTTGCTGAGTGCAAAAGTTCAAGCCGAAGCTGACATTAAATCATTCCTGAAAGATCCTCCAGCCCACTCCTCAGTTCGACAACAGAGGATAACTCACTGGTCGAACATGGACATGATCCAAAAGAATTGATCTCATATTGCAAATTATAGTTGCAGAATCACAATTTATGTAACAGGAACCCTACAGAAGGTATAACGATACCACTCTGGAAACTACCCTCTCACTACTTCTTCTTCACTCTATAACAACCCCCAGCAAGTTTTAGACAAGCTGTTCCTCGAAAAAAGTCACGGAAAAGACATCGGACAAGCTTGGAAGATTGAAACAAAGCTAACGAATAACTCTGCAGATTTCAGCCGCGAATTAAAGACACAGTATTTGATATATGAACTTGAAGCTCACTGCCTAATGCAGTTATGAATAAACATTGCCTCCTTAACTAAATAGATATTACATTGTAACTTTTCGTGATTATAAACCCGATAAATATGACATGTTATAATTATATTATCATCGATGATCGTAAGCCTTAAATAACGCAGCATGTGATTTAGACTTTAAGGATTCATAGAAACACTGCATGTAATATGATATGAGATCTGTTAGCTGTATCTTAACTGAAAGACTGTACAGAGACAATCAATCTTAGCATTTTTTAAGAGGGAAGTGTTGTACGCTGTTTAATATCCGTCCTGATTCGAGCATTTCTTTAAGTCCAAATAACACATTTTAATATGATCGTAAATTATTGTAAAGACCTTGAAACTTACAGCCCATTTACTACGGAACCTCCCACGGATTCTGTACCCTTATTTTAAGCTGTTTAGATTTAAGTTCTTGATATTCCGAGCATTCCAAGTGGTTAGTTTTGAATGGTCTTGACTGGTATTTTGATTGAGCCAGTCGGCCCATCTCCAGGTTTCACGATAAGGTGATAATTAACAAACTTTTAGAATTATTTACAGGTTAATGATCCAAGCCTGCAGGAATTTAAATCAGACTTTCACGTGCGCTTATTTTAGAATTTTTAAAGTAATAAGATCGTGTGAAGAAATATGTTACTGTGGAGATTTGCACGGAGACAAGTTTATGCTGTTCGAGTTTTGTGTATTTGCAACGTGATTTTTAAGACGAGTTTTCCCTTTGAAAGATAAGGAGGTTATCCCTTTGAAAGAGAAGGACGTAAGAATGTTTTGCAATATTGTTGTAGCATGTGATTTATAAGACGAGTTTTCCCTTTGAAAGATAAGGAGGTTATCCCTTTGAAAGAGAAGGACGTAAGAATGTTTTGCAATATTGTTTTAGTAGCAACGAGATTTACGAAGACAATTATAACACTTTTAAGAACGAGATCAGATAAATTGATTTGAATTTTTCACGGAATTCAGAGACATTGATAATGATATTGTTACGATTCAGACACGTGAATGACGTCATGAATGCGATAAGGAATTATTTATAAGGTCGTATTTTCATCCAATAAGTGGCTTCGGGCTATTGACTTTTGGGCTTCAGACCCTTGGGTCTTAGGGCTTGGTTCTAGGTTCTTGTCTTTTGAGCTCTGGGTTCTTGGTTCTTGGGCCTCGACTCTTAAGTCCCAATGTTTGACGTTTAAAAGTTTGTAAGTTCCAGTACTGAGGGTACAGAATCCTATACTGTGACTCATTTTGTGACAAGTAGTATTTATACTTTACTCCACTTCGCTTTACATTAGTTTACGAACTTGTCTCAATTGTCCCCTCTATCTCGAAAGTAAAGAAAAGCTAAAGACACCTCTGACCTCGCCTAAAACTCTCAACTTTAACTCCTTCTACCAAATTACCCCCTAAGCGCACATTACTCACACTGATGTGGGTCAAGGAAACAATAGAAAAGCTTCTATTAAAAATGTTCTTAAATGTCTCCCTCTATATTGATATATTTATCTATATTATAATTCAAAGAATTATTTCTGTATAATGTATGTACGACCGCCCACGTGCAAATAAGACGAGAAATAGGAAATTGCAAAGTAACCATGGTAACGAGGGTTGTTAAACGCACGTGCACGTGCAAAGATTGCCGAGCGACATTTTGATCGATTTTGTGGTAATTACGTTGTGTTTGGTGCAAGCTACATTTCAATCGGCTGTATCTTGGGTTGATGCGATAAAAACTGACTACCAAAGAACACTATTAGCTTCCTCCCTGTGACCATGGGCTTTCTAGTTTATTTATATATTTATTTATTTATATTTTCATAATTTTCCTTTCATCAAAATATTATACATACATTTAAAAAGATTTAGCGCCCTCCAGCAAATTCTAACTTTAGTGTCAGCTTTGCAGTCATGTTAGGTGAATTTGCTGTAGGAGTCTTTTTACGATTGGCAACATCATTGACACCACTAAGTCATTGGCTAGAAGAAAGAGTGGAGATAACGACCCCAACATCTAGCTGGAAAAGGGTAAGTAAAGTGTAAGATTGACCAGATTCGATTGCAATCGTTTCCTGCTTTCTTAGATCAAAAAAGTCTGTTTACATTGTATGATTTTTAAGTACATTTATTCCATTAATCTTATTTCAGATTGAAGAAGGAATTGCATTAAAACAGTTTGGCCTTGATCCTTATGCTGGTGATATCGTACATGAGCCTCCCCTAAACATCATGATGTACAGTTTAATATCAAGTTATTCCTCCTATTTCTTTATACTAGTGGACATTCTTTCAGCACTGGTGAGTGTTGCTGTTATAACTTTATAAACATTTTATTTCGAATCTTTCATCCCACAGTCTTTGTGTAAATTTGATGATTTTAATTAATTTATGGTTGAAACTGTTGTTTACCAAAATAGAAATAGTCTAATATTTTCAGCTCCTCAAAATAAGTATAGACAGAATACACAAAAATATGGTGGATCAGGAAGACAATGAAGAATGCCATTCAACTTTTGAGAAGCTCAAGATGAAACTAAATGAGAAAACCGGATATTACAGTCTACTTATTTTCCTGTTTAATCCCTATTCTATCGCGCTCTGTGCTTCTAAGGTACTTGCTTCATATCTGGTTTTAGTAATAGGTATTATTCTCATTTAACTATTCGTGTGATAAGCTTAAAGATAATTAAAAATTCTTAATATGTGTTATATTATAATTAACAATGTATTGCTAGGAACCTGTGCAATGTGCACTGTATTTTGGTTTTGTACTGTATATTGATATCACTCATGCGAATAAGCTGCTTAATCGACACAAAATGTAAATGTTAGCATCCATGTTATACATTATTATCTAAATGTTCATGAATTGCAATACAATAGTCTGTCATACACTCCGAAATAAAGTATTAGAGAGAAATTATCATGAATATAGTTTTGCATCTAAGGTATAATAATATCTAAAATAATTTTCATGCCAAGAATTAGAATATAGTTTCTTTAATGTAAACACTAATCAGGTATTGTACAATTCTAAAATAAAGTTATAATATAATTCTTAATCTCAATTAAGTTTCCATATGCATTATAGATCTTTGCCACAAGAAAATAGTATGTAAAGAGATATTCCAAATGAAATGATGATGGCTGAATTAATTCTAGTCACGTATTTCATCCTTGTGCTTTGGTACACACTTTTAATCACATCTGCTGCTTCCTTCTCTGGTTCCTCTAGATTGCTGAATCCACAAAACCAGTTGTAAGCCTGAAATTGATCAGCGTTTTAAAGTCGCATTCTTGATTTTGATGAATGTCCTGAGTGACTTTCTTGTAAAGTATGTTATTAAATAAAAAGAAGACAAACCTTGACAAAAACAGGAGCTTCATCATCTTGGAGAGATTTATTACTGTCAGAATCAGCCTTTCCGTTCTTTATTCCTTCCAATGTATTTGCCTCAATAATATCAGGAGCCACCTTTTTACTCGTCATTCTCCTGGTAAACAAAATGATGTGTCACCCGTCACCGTTCATTTTATCAAATTCATCTGAACTGATCGCAAAGATTACCAGGGAGCTGAGCTGTTGTTAAAAAATGTTCGACTATGTACTACAGTAGTTACCAAAACAGTAATCTCACTTGGTCCAAATAGTGGTGTTGATCAAACATTCTGGATCAGGCCGCTCAGTGAAGTAACTTGTTGTTACTGTTGTTATTATTGTTGTCCAGAACACTATGATAGCATAATACATGTAGTGGACCTTCACTATTATAGGTCGAGTATCGTCCTGATAAAGAAGGTGTGTTGTATTAAAGGGGGAGTGGGGGGGGGGGCGCCCCCAGGTCAAAGCCGATAAAGTAGAACAAACGATATTGTATGATTTGTGTCTAAAATAAACTCACTAATCCACATCGCGGTGCCGAGTAAGAGAACTCCATGAGCATGCGAACAATACCAACCAAAGTACCGGCACATAAACCAAAGAATGCACCTTTCTCATTCGTCCATGTGCTGAAAATGAGAATGAAGATATTACGAAGTTCTATGTAGTAGGTAGCTAAATACAAATTCAGATTGATTGCCATGCAGTAACTATCCCACAGTTATTGAGCTATCAAATTTTCAACATTCGCCTCACTAAACCATGACGGGGGGGGGGGTGAGGGAAGGGGAAACTGACCATGTGATTGCAAGGAAGTACACGGCAGCAATAGGTGGTGCAAGATATGCTGAGATTGACTGAATGTACACAAACAACTGTCCTCCTTGTAATACCTTGCACAATACATCATGTTAGCTTACAACTATAGGTTTAATTTATAGAACTATAAATTTAATTATATAGAACTATAAATTTAATTATATAGAACTATATCTATAAGTTTTTCGATATAAAATATTGAAATACTGTTTTAATTAAATAGAATGACAGGAGACATTTTGGAAGATTTTTAAATAGAAGCTTTTCTGCCGTTTCCTTGACCGAAATTTCAATATTTTGAATGAATTTGTCTTCAATAACCAATTAGCGAGTTCACTGTAGATGGCAGAAAGGTTTGATGAAATAATCAGAATACTTTTAACAAACCTGCACAAGAGGGATCCACACAATGGACACAACTGTCAAGAACACCACAAACAATCTGCCAACTAGAAGTAACTCCCTGGTCTTAGCGTTCTTTCTTATCAGTGGCCAAACGTCCATAGTGAAAAGTGTACCTGATATTTGAGTCACTTATTTAATTATTTTACAATAGAATTTAACTGATCAACTAATTGACTCTAGTTAAACCTCGGAATCTGCACTTCAAGCATAAACATAATGCCAAAAAGCTTATAAATTTCATATCTAATACTATAAACAATCTCATTTATGGAGTTCCTGAAAGTAAAATTGTGGCTATTGTTAAAACACATCATTGCGTTAAGAAGAGAATTAAAAGTCTATTCAAGAACTTACTGGCAGAGTTGAAAATGGAAGTAAGATCTGACATGAGTGCAGCTAACATAACAGCTATCATAATTCCTCTGAGACCAGTTGGCATGAGATTCATCACCAGTTCCGGGTAAGCAAGGTTGGAACAACCAGCCTGAAGGGCAAGTCCTTATATGGGCATCACTTGTAATATCACGTGTAATATATGAAGTGATTTCTCAGCTAATTGAAATTAGTGTTAATGCATTGATAACTTCTATTTTCTTAGATCGGTGGCAATAAGATGGTAAGGGTCTGGGTTTACAGCCAAAAATTGGCACAGAAACCAAATTCATCAAAATGTTAGCAGTGCGAAGTAGTATACTCTTTTACTCTTAATAGATCTGCATTTACTTACCTTGCTTTGACAGAAATTCATGCACGCTTCCTCTGTAGCGCATCCGATAGTGTCAGGGAAGAGGGCTCTAGCTACCATACCAGGTACAACCATCAGGAATACTGGTAACAGCTTGAGGTAGCCTGGTGTACAAGTGTTACTATTAGTAGTAGTATTAGTAGTAGTAGTATGAGTAGTAGTATTAGTAGTAGTAGTAGTATAGTAGTAGTAGTATTAGTAGTAGTATTAGTTGTAGTAGTAGTAGTAGTATTAGTAGTAGTATTAGTAGTAGTATTAGTAGTAGTATTAGTAGTATTAGTAGTTGTATTAGTAGTATTAGTAGTATTAGTAGTAGTATTAGTAGTAGTAATAGTATTAGTAGTAGTATTAGTAGTAGTATTGGTAGTAGTATTAGTATTAGTAGTAGTATTAGTAGTAGTCTAGTATTAGTAGTAGTATTAGTAGTAGTATTAGTAGTAGTATTAGTAGTATTAGTAGTAGTAGTAGTAGTATTAAGGGGTCATTCATAATAACTAAGTATTTCTTAAGTAAATACTCGCTAGTAATTACTTAGATTTTTCTGAGTCTCAAAATCGGTATTCACAAAGTTTGAGCATTTACTGCCCAGTAAAAACTAATACTCAAGCTGAATTCATCGTGAGTATGACTTACATTCAAGTAAATACTCACTAAAATGCTCTCAAACTAGCACTCAAATACTCAAATCAGTATTTTAAGAAGCACGACAGGTTAATTCAGATCTTTTGTTTGCCATCTTATGTTAATGGGAAAACACCCAAATTCGGATGTACATCGATGTATCGAAGGAATGTGAAATAAACATTTTCGAGGGGAATTCGTGTCGAGTACATTCGACATTCGCACATCACGTACCGCATATAATGTCTGTGATGGAATTTGTGATATCGCAATCTCGAAATGGCGGCAAAATGACAACACCCTTGACTCCGAAGATAATTCAGAATCATTCTTGATATCTATAATGAATGTTTCGTGTGCGATATTGTGTCCCCTACAGGTAATTTCACGTCCCTTTTACAGTGGTTTACCGTGATGTACTGTAGTTTTCTTTTATCCACGGTAGTTTCCCGAAACCCACCGTAGTTTTACTGTGGTTTGCCGTCAATTTCTATTACAATCATCTCGGTACGCAATTTTTATCGCTAGTCCTAGCCAAAGCTTTCAGAGAGGTTTTTTATGGTAATCGTACTGTAGTGCGACACGTACTGTAGTGCGACACGTACTCTAGTGCGAAGTCCGACAAAAACACTCTCTGTCGCACTACAGTACGTGTCGCACTACGATCCAGGAAGCGTACTCTACTGCGACAGTGTCGATCTTGGAGGCTTCGCACTAGGGTACGTGTCGCACTAGAGTACGTGTCGCACTACAGTACGTGAACCGTTTTTTATAACTATTTTTTGAATTGATGACTGATCTGCGTTACTTGGCTCCTGAATGTCGTAGGGACAGAATTTTTAGCTTTAACTAACCGTAATGGTCGCATCTATATTGGACTTACAAGGAAGCTTATACTCTAACGTGTTTATTTTTCTGGGAAAATTTGCAAAAACGTCATCCAATCGGGAAAAAATATATTAGAGCTTTTGTACTGGCAGTGAGGAGTCGTCCCTGAAAATTTGAAGTGAAAATATCAATTAGAAGGGAAGTTATTCACGTTAAAAGTCGTTGAGCAATAGGTGAGAAAATGATTTGAGAATGTGAATTCGGTTCTCACATTTTGAGCATGAGTTTTGATCATTTGCTAACTTTATGAATACCAATCTTGAGTTAGTTTTGGGTGACGAGTAAATACTAACTTTATGAATACCGATTTGAGTGCTAGTTCCAACTCTGAGCATTTACTAGCGACAAAATACTCAGCCCAGCAAATACTTAACTTTACGAATACCAAAAGCGAATTTGATCTCAAAATCTAAGATTATCTCACAATTTGAGTCTGAGTTTTCGTTTTTGAATGACACCTTTAGTACTAGTAGTATTAGTTGTTCAGATTCCCATTAGAATGAAATGCTATTCATGTTATGCATCATCGTCTCGTCATTAGAAATTTAGGTAAATATCTAATAAATTCATTCTCCTAATGAAAGTGACTGTGTGACTGTGTGACAGTGTGACTGTGTGACTGTGTGACTGTGTGAATGTGTGACTGTGTGACTGTGTGAATGTGTGAATGTGTGACTGTGTGACTGTGTGACTGTGCGATTGTGTGACTGTGTGACTGTGTTGTCTGACCTGCAAGAACTAGCGCCCCCTGGGCATGAGAGAGTGACTTAGCAGACAGGACTCTTTGTACCATCATCTGATCAGCGCACCAGTACCACGTACTGGAAGGGAACTGCCCGAATATGAAACCCGGCCAGGGAATATCGCCCTTCACCGGGTCGCGCAACATTACAAATGCGTCACTCCGCGGGTACCCACATTCAGTACCTGGGTAGGTTACATTCGGGATTGCTGCTCTGTACTGCTCCTGAAGACCTGGTCAGAGTGTAATTAAGTCCTTATATGGGCATCACGTTATCATGTAAAGTTGTGTTTTGAATCAACAAATCAACAGAATAATAATAATTAATATGATAATTAATAATATATAAATAATATATAACACGTGATGCCCATTTAAGGACTTACCACTCCAGCCCCCAATCTTGACCATACTCTTTCCCGCCACAATGGAAGCTCCAGCTAACATGATCACTGTTTGCAGTGTGTCAGTATAGATAACAGCTGTGGGAAAGTGGGTTATTAAATAGAATAGAATATCTTGATAGAGTCATACACACTGTTATGTTGGTACATTCACAACCTTTTTACCCAATGTATAATGTTACTATAGTAGTAGACACATACCAGTAAGTCCTCCACCAATAGTAGTAAGAGCAGTTAGCAGCAGTATCCCAACCACTGATACGTACAGGCTCCAGTCCAGTGCTCGTTCAATAAACAAGCCTCCAGAGTACAGATTTACACTGAAGTAGTGTTCAAGTGCTAGTCGTAGAAGTAGTGTTACTGTTCATGTATTGTTATTGCTCTTCTTGCCAATTACAGGGTGATTCAAAAAGAATGTTGGAATTTTAAATAGCTACAATTTTTGAGACAAATTAATTACTTTTTAAATCACCTTGTATTTCTCAATAGTGAATTGAAGTGTTCTGGGTGTGGCTTTGCTGTTCTTAAACTTTATTACGATTTGTACATTGTACAAGCAGTTGCATACAGCTAACATGCAAATTATATTTGAGGTGCTAAAACCTTATTTTAGTGAAAATGTAGAGGAGAATGGAAAGGAAGGTGAGGTAGAGTTTGATCCTCTTTTTTCCTCCGAACCTCTTTTCCATATACTCTGGAAGTGTACTGACTCTGCTTGCTATGTAAACCTGATAAAGGTTGTTAACGTCATATTACTTGTTTGAAGATGTTTATCCTGAGTGTTTCACTAGGGTTACCTTATGTCGAGCAACTTAAATCGTGTCCAAACACAGTTCTACTCGTCTATTATTTACTGTTCAATCACGAGCAATCAACTTTCAAACTGCATTATCTAAGGCCCTGATTCATAAACAAAATATTTTTAGACCTAATTAATTTCATCGTGGCTCGGCTATGCAGGCTTCGACCGATATGAAAACCCCCAAGATTTTCTTGCTGGATCCACCCCTGAATTGCATCATTGTGAAATGTGAAATTGTAAGTCGCTGCTCAGCTTTAGCTAAAGTTTTACTTACCGGAATGAAGACATGTCCTAGAATTTGAAGGAGGATTGTAGCATCAAGTTCAAACGCTCCTACACCCAGACCAGAGGCTGCCCCTGAGCCAACTAAACCAATGAAGTGTTCCGAGCCTATGTTACTTGCAAACACAGAGGCTCCCACTGAAATGAACTTACTTTAATAAACATATTTCACCTTATACATAATGTGTTAGTTTATCCCATATATTATTGTGCAATATATAACAAGGGCTTTAACTTAAAATATAATGCAAGTAGCGTATTGCATACTTATAAATACAGGGATTCTTTCTATTTAATACAAGGCTAGTAGCTAAATAGTAAATACTCTATACATTTAGTAAATTTGTTCGTAGAGAGCAATGAATTTAACTTATCCCTATGTATTATATATTCCTCAAAGGCAAGATTATAAAAATATAGATCACGTTGCTACATCTCTACTATAATTCAGAGAATTGTTTTTGTTGTACGACCGCCCACGTGCAAATCAGACGAGAAATAGGAAGTTTCGTAGTAACCATGGTTATGGTGTTGTACATGCACGTGCAATGATTGTTTTAACGTCATTTTGTGGTAATTACGTTGTGTTCACTCATTCAGTATGAGATACATTTTAATCGGCTGTGTCTTCGGTTTCGATGGATATTTTTGATACAATAAAACTGCAACTTCCCTCCCTGTGACCACGGGCTTTCTAGTTCAATATAATATAATATACTGTTAACTGGTTACACATGGCACTTGTTGTTCAGATAACAAGAATATTGATTATGTGTAGTAATAGATTAAGATAGTTGTCACCTGGAATGAAAGTCATGAATCGTCCAGCTAGGAAGTATCCTTTAACACTGCCTCGTTTAGAAACCCACATGGCATACAGACCCACTCCGATAACTGAAACCATACTGTCAGGACTGTGTGTATTTTACACGTGATGCCCATATAAGGACTTATCACCAGGTTATTGTAAAGGAGCATTAAATATTTGAAATAGACTACAGTTATCTAACACTCACCTAGAATGAAATAAGCCGCCACCGCAAACACGTCCCATCCGTTTAGAGTTGCCATTGCCCAGTAATGATGGGTGACAAGTGGTACAAGTAGTTCGTACAGCTACCTTCTAATGGTCGGGTTGTTTGAGCAAGGTAACAAATATATGTAGATTGTAGAGTGGGCACATGACTCTGATAACAGTACTGTAAAACTACAAATTTAGTTAAAAGAAGCAGCAAGTGATACTAGCAGTAGTATTAGTAGCAGGTGATAGAATGCCCAAGAACTGAAAGCACTGAATTTTAGGGTTCAGCAACAGTTTAATGAGATGAGGAACCCGATATTTGCTTTACAGCCTCCCCACAACCTCTCATGAGCAAATCAAACAATTGTTACAACAAACACAGAGCAAAGATTTTAAAGGAGGGTCCGGTGGGTGGCTTAAAGGAGCACATTCCTCTCCAGATCCTAATTACTGATGAAGAGACGTGTGTGCTAGAAATAAAAGAAGGGGAAGCCTTCAATCACAGCTGGAATTTCAGCCGGTTCTGTAAAATACAGGTCAGGTTCCGATATCAATTCAAACGAAGGCAACTAGACTAGAAATGAAACTGTTGGAGATTCTTAGGAGCAATTATCACCCCTAATAGGATTAAAAGTGCGGTTTCAAAGCATTATGTGAGACTATCGTACATTAGGAAAGTCTGGAGTTATCCCAGTTACATAACGTGTAAATTTAAATATGGCACTTTAAACAAAGTTTCAAAACGTGAGTGTTTTTACTGATTAGGAGCTGTATATTATCATAATATTATGGTATTACATTAATTTCAAATTAAAATATCATCACTTAGTACATACTCTCGTTTCTGGTGAGTATTATTTATGGTAATGGTATATCCTAATTTCACCAATGGGATTTGCAGAATTATACGGTCCACCGGCTTATCTAGATTTTAGATAAGCCGGTGGACCGTATAATTCTAGAACCGCTTCATTAAAAAGTTAAAAGTAATCAGATTTAATGTGTAAGCAGTGATCCGCTCACGGGTTGCATTTCTATTGAAGTTATGATATCGCAGTTCCAATAGAATTTAAAAGAAAACAAGTGTTTACCAGATGAAAAGCTCGAATTATGTAAAATAATTGTTCCAGAAAATTCTAACCTCTTTTGAAATTTGATGTGAATAAAATACACACAGTTGATAAAATTGAGTACAATTGTTTTAATTATATTGAGTAGGACATGACACGGAGCATTATTAGACACCAGAGAAAGCCACTTTAGGAGGATTAGGTATTATCTACCTTTTTAAAAGTGTGTGTTCTGGTACCTATAATAGAGCATGAGCGTGTCACTGCGTAGACTTTGTCCCACCTATAAATGTATAACACACATATTTACAAGTCCGGGTGTATTTCAGTCGACCCAGTGTACCACGAACCTGCTGTATGCTGTAATGCTGTACGGAGTGAGTATTAACAGCGTGGTGCTAGTGTCTGTAGTCACTGCTCTGGCCAGCTACTCCACTCTCTTCCCTGTCATGGTCCTCGTTCCTATCTTCCTGCATCACAGGAACAAGGCTCTCACCGGTCAGTAACAGTTTACAGTAAGCAAACTGTAGGCGGACTAGTTTCTCAGTTAAAGTATTGAAAAGTATTTACCAATTCCCTAACTTTATAACTTTATAAATTCAATAACGACTGTATTCAATTTTATAGCTTCGGGGGTTAGCGTGCAGTAGTACTCGAAGAAAAGAACTGTTTGATCTATCTCATTTATTTCCTCTCTGCTGCACTAATCTCTATCTCTCTCAGGAATAGTGACGTTTGTAGTAAGCTTCTCCCTGCTGCACTACACTTCCTATCTAGTTTGCGGAGGTAACTGGAGCTACGTACAGTCTGTGTACGGGTTTATCCTCACAGTTCCCGACTACACACCTAATATTGGGGCTGCTTGGTATTTCTTCTCTGAGATGTTCTCTCATTTCACCGTCCTCTTCCTCTCTGTTTATCAGGTCAGGATAAAAGAAAATCTCCGCTACAAGCCAAACTAGGCAAAATCGCAGCATATTCGCGGTCAGTTGAAAGTGGAAGTATCCCACCTTTTGAAGAACTAGAAACAATATTGACTTAGGTACAGAAAGTAATCTAGTTATGCAGTCTAGGATACAAGGATACAAGGATACAAGGATACAAGGATACAAGGATACAAAAGTGATAATTACTTTATTGAGTACACAATAGTTGTAATTCTGAAATAATTTAAGTTACACAATTCTAATTATTTACAAGTGTGTAGGGATAATTTAGAAATGTTATATAATGCTAGTTTTAGAAAAATAGATAAATCGAGTTTGTATGGTTCAATCTTATTTTAAGGTCCTATAGCATTATGCACTTGCCAGTATTTGAGTGGAAATCTGGGCTCTTATAATAGGCTGTATGATTTTCGTTCACAGAGAGAATTGAATGGATTGCTCTTGCTGTGGCAGTGAGTGTGGTAGGATCTAGAGTTTTGTTGGAGAGCAAACCGACTAGGTCAGTAATGTTTAGGGGATGGAAATTGAATTTTTCCCTAACTGAGGAGTAGAGCAAACAGTCAATCAATACGTGACTTTCGTCCTCAATCTATCAGTCTATGATCACTAAACATAAAATATCATTAATATCAGGACGCAACTGTGAACTGAACCACTAAACCAATGTAATAGAACACCAAAAGCGACTTCACACCTGATGAGCAATTTATTGATACTTTAGGCTCTCCTCCCCAATTATGTTATTACGCAAGCAGTTGAACCCAATCTTCAGTCCATTAAACAATTATCGGGATTAACTCAACCTTCAAGGAAATATTTTGAGACCTACCCTGGTATATATACAACTTTTGTTGATAGTGAGTGTCTCAGTAAGGCAATCCGCAATTGCCTTCTGAGATACAACGTGAACGACCCGCCAGGAATTCCTGGAGGGCTTGCTAGTCGACTCGCCAAGTCGTGCTAGCAAAACATAATACAGCGGGAAACGTAATACAGCGGTGGACGTGTAAACTGTATAAATATCAAACCAAACAAACAAGGAGAGAATTCTCTCCACCACTTTTATGCTGGTTCAGGCATGGCTCCAGCTCAAAATCTTTGGGTGGGTGCAGCTTGGCGCGTGGTGCGGGGGGGGGGGGGGGGGGGGGGGTTAAGCCCCTGGAAGATTTTGGAATTTTACCCTCCTTTAAACGTATTTCAATATCTCTCAGAACAGTCTCAATTGAGTAGAAGTCAGAAGAAAGTAATCAAACAAATTAACAGATTTATTTAACGTAATTTATATAAAGGTCAGAGGATACTTTGATAGACGTTATTATTCAAATATTATTCATAACTAAGTAATGACTTGTGAGCAGGGGTGTAGGAATGATTTTCTTCATGGGGGGTCAGTTACCATCAGTTACCATCAGTTACCATCATATCTTGATGGAATGGTCCTTAGACCGGTTCATAAAAACAAAATGTCCTTGAATAATTAGGAGTTTGTTCTTATCTGTTGATCCTTAGGTTCCAACTCTTCCATCTTCAGTCTACTCCTGCCACACCCATATTTCATGGGTTTTTAATACAGGTAAAATATTATCTAGAATCGGCTTTTTTAGTATGAAGGAGTAATGTTAACTGTTTAAGATTCGTTATTCAAATATTAATGTCACGAAGGCATTTCGTTTAATGTGGGTTAAGTTCTGATTAACCCACATTAAACGATTAACCCACAGTATCTTTCTGAAAGATACTGATTTTTTAAATAAGAATCAAAATTATATATAATTTTGATTCTTATTCAAAAAATCAGTATATATTATATATAATAGCAAGCAATATAATATATAACACAACATAAAAACACAGCTGTTTAAAGAGCTTCTTCAGATCCTCCTTAGTCTTTAGAGAGTACTGTCTGCAGTGGGATTCCACAACGAGCATCAGCTATTAATACGACGCTTCACTTCTGTGCGAATCGTTTGGATATTTCTTTAGTAGTGCCTCTGGAACCACAGGGGCGTTTGGGAGTGTACTCCTCCTCCTGAAGGCTGATGTCCAGCTGAGAATCGTCGGACGACATAGAGCCATAAAAAAATCCAAGGGCGTGGTTCTTAACATCATCAGAACTTAAAACCGACATTAAACGAAATGCCTTCATGAAATTTATATTTGAATAACGAATCTTAAACAGCTAACATTACTCCTTCATACTAAAAAAGCCGATTCTAGATATTTTACCTGTTACATAAGAAACCCATAAAATATGGGCGTGACCGGAGTAGACCGAAGATGGAAGAGTTGGAACTTGAAATTTTGTGTGTGGTTTTTGAACCTAAGGATCAACAGATAAGAACATACTCCTAATTATTCTCCTAAATTTGTCCTTAATGACGTACAGTTAAAGTTTGATTGGTTCTTTCACAAATGAGGTTGGGATTTTTTGTACTTTAATGCTCGATTATAGAACATTTTATTTAAATATCAGTTTATTATTTAGACATTTTACAATTTAACTATCACTCAGTTGAACCTGCTGCTCTACTCGCTGCCCCTGTCCCTCAAGTTCCCTAACTCTCCTCCTCTCGTCATCTTCTCACTTCTCATGGTTCTCGCTCTCTTCAAGCCTTACACTTGTGTTGGAGATTACGTGGTCCCCTTCGCCATGCTGCCTCTTTGGTTACATCTCTTCAAATACCTCCAACAGTTTTACGTTGTTGCTGTTGCTACTGTGGTTAGTTCTCTATATTTACATTGCTTCTACACTTCATTATCACAATTCATTATTTTATTCCTAGATAAAAGTAATGTTATTGAGACTTGGAGCGGCCATAAACCTCCTGTTTTGTTTCAGGTGCTGACTCTGCTGTGGCCTGTGTTGTGGTATCTGTGGGTGCACTGCCTCAACGCTAACAGTAACTTCTACTTTGCTATTACTCTCGCCTTCGTCCTATTCCAAAGCTTCCTTCTCTCAGGTAGTTATATATCTAAATTCTAACCGCTATTTTACTTTCAGGCTGATATCTCGTTAAAACCGTTATTTCACTTATAACATTTATTTTACTCATAACTTTACTGTTGTAGTTTTTTCTCTGTCTTGGAGACGGTGATCTAACTACCGTTCGGTGGAATTCAACTTTGTAAAATGTCTAAATTTCATCACCCTTGATATTTTTATAATCTTTATTGATAAGAGTCAACAGACGGGAATCACGGAATAATTATTAGTGTAAAAAGTTTTAAATGTTAGCATTTGACCGATAAACTGTAGTTAATTACCTTCTCTCAGATATTCTGTACGCAAAGATGAGACGAGATTATGCTCTAAAGAATGGGATAGAGACGAAGAAGATAGATGGTCAAGATACAGTCGTTACTCTTAACTAACCATTATATTATATTACTTTAGTCTTATTAGTATAACATTTCAATAAATTAGAATAGTGGTAGTGTAGAGGATTAAATCATTTATCTCGTTATATTAATATTATGTTGAATAAATTGGACTCTGAGATTACAGAAAATTGATGAAATTATCTTTAAAGCTTTAAATTGCATTTGAATTGGAATACCAATCAGTATTTTTCAATCTCAGAGCCACTTTATCTGTGTTATTTTAGTTTATCGTTTTGTTTACCTGCTGTTATTGTTATATTAATTAGAATACACTTGTAGGGAAATACATCACCAGACTTTGTTCTTAGAGTCCACTTAATAATAGTTTAGATTTTGAATTTTTTCGGCTTGTTAACCTTGTGTTTGTAACATTTATTTTGGTTATCTAAGTTTTGCTAATATCAGTATGATGCTGTTTTTCATTGCGCCAATTAATAACTGAACTTAACACAGTATTCTCGAAATTTGTGCTCGTGTAAAAAATTACAAATGAAAGGTTCCTTTTTGATGAGAAGTTTTTCTTTGATTAGTGAATGACAGAAATTACACTATTCACTGACAAAAGTTAATTGGATATTTTCCCTGACTGCTCCAATGTTGAACTAAATCTAGATATCATCTACTATATGGCTCAGCTCTCTATCAGATATCATCTTTTCCCTCTATCCTGGCCTCGAACCAGTTCTCTAGGTCTCTAAATTTCCTGCAACAAGTAAATTGTGAGAATAGTATTTTAGATGCTAGGTTCTGAAGAGGCTGAGTTGTGGATATTACAGATCGAGTTAAACATGCTTAGTATAGTATAGGATCTACTATTTATATATAATATGTAGTATAATATAGGTGCTGCAAGGTTACATGATAATGGTTGTGCAACTTTCGAGCTCTAAGTAAAAGTAGTAAGTAGTAGTTATTGGTAGTGACTAACCCCAGAACCTCACACTCCCTTGGTTCCTTGATGCACACATAGTTAATAACAGAGTCCCTGATAGCATTTAGAGCAGGGTAATCCCTTGAGGGGACCTGTTCACCGATTAAAAGAAGTTCCTTTATGATTTCATCATGACCAACATCTTCAGATCCTAGGAATGTTCTAGCTCTGTTACAAACCCCATGGTTGTCATGGTTACCATCGCAGTTAACTCCCATCAGCTCCAGCGCCTCTATCAGGTTTACAGCTGTCCAGGCTCTGCAGTCGTCTTGTTGGCGGTCACACTCGTAGTGTGTAATCTGCAGGAAGATGTTGTAGAGAAGATTGACTGCATCTGCTGATCCTACAAAGGAGTTTACTAAGGATTCAGCCAGTTCTTTCTCTATTGCTTCGTCGTTGTGTGCTGTCACGTGACCCAGAAGGAGAAGTGCTAGTAGCATATTCCGCATATTCCGCATATTCCGCATTTTCCACATATTCTTATCTAGAGTTATCTAGAGGTGTCAGTTTGGTATTAACTGGGATATCAACATTAGTTACCCAATCATTAAAACAAAGAAGGGTATCAGCTCCCATTAAGATGTGAAAATATTCGCAAACTATTTCTTATTTTATTGTAAAACAACAGATACAAATGGAGATAAGGTATGTTGCGCAATTTCACTCAAGCCACACTCAAACGGTGCCCTCAAAACATATGAACAAGTTCAATAAAAGTGGACTATAACAGTATGGTAGTAATACAGTGGTGTAGAAGTCCCGCCATGTTGCAATTATGCAGAGTGGATATCAAATATCAGTGCAATCCTGTGAGGTATGGTAAACATTTGTTTTTCTTGAAAAGCCAACACGAAGGTTGACGTTTGCGTCAAATCTCCTATTGTGTCAGAAACACCTGGATTACTCTGCCAACAGGCAACGTAATACGCAACTGATTAAGGAAGGTTAAAAAACACTAAAAGTGTTAGCAAAACTACAGATGCGCAGAAATGTTTCATTGCTCGAGAGGATTTAGTTGATAGGAGTAAACAAATTTGAATCGCCAAGTCGAAGTAATTTACAACTAAGAAAACTGTGAGATGAGTTTTCTTTCTAGGCGGGGATTCAGCCGTTTTTTTGAGTCAGTACGTAACAGCTGCATAACAATAGTCCTCGCTCGTTCAATTATCTGGAAGTTTATTTATCGTCAGTCTTGCACCGAGGGCTGAATTTGAGGAGCTAACCAATTGTTTAATCTTCCAGCTCTCAAACTTTTGAAGTTTAGACTGTCCCTCATTACATCGGAACCAATATAATGGATATGTTTCTTTTGTGCACAATACCGGGCCCCTTTTGAACCTGGCTCACGTCCGTTATGTGAACACATGCCGAGAGCTCGAACACTTCTTAATATTATACTTCATAATACACAGCTACTTACTAAACTGTCACGTGAAGTGTGAACCCTATCCAGGTTCTTGATTGTCTGGCTGTTAGGATGGCTAGAATATGGATCACATCACAAATGGCACGTCACTGATTGGGCCATGTGATGTGATACCTGCGGGAGCCTGAATGAGAGGTTCTTAGTATAGTTGTCGGTCACCGGTGAAAAGGCTTATTAAACGATTAAGCAACCTTACGAGATCAGTTCACATCATGCAATATATAAGGAATAACTATTATCAGACTGCATCAATAATTTCTATCATCAACTCCTTCTTGAACAACAAAAACTATGGTCTCAGAGAAAACGAAACGGATGAACTCAGCCCTACCCTGCTAGTCGTAACTAATTGCATCCATGATACCATACATACCATTTAATTTCATAACATATGCGGTCATATGATCTGGTAGCCAATCAGCTATTCACGAACAGGGGTCGGGCTATTTGGATACTGCCAAACATGAAACATGACAGATAATGATACCATGGTACTGCTTTAAAAAGTGTGGATGTAGTAGTAGTAGTAGTGGATGATATTAATTGTAATGGTAGGCAGGTAGGGTATTGGATATTAAGAGGCAGTGAAACTAGCGGTCTGCAATGAATTTAGACTTGCCACCGATTAATAAATTTAGATATTATAATAATTCATTATTAACTTAACAGATTTTGTAACTGCCTTGTCGGACAAAACATTACTGTAGTCTGTAATCTTTCTGTTTCAGGTCATGTACTAATACATGTGTCTACCCAGTTTGGATAATAATTAACTGAAGATGACAGCAACGTATCTTCTTTTGACTACAGTTGTCTTTAGTATGGCTCTAAAAGCTTGTGCTGCTAGAAAGTTGGCTGTAGCAGGTCCCATCAATACATTTGGGTTAAAGCTCCTGTCACACAGTCCCCCTGGTGAGAACGTGATGATATCTCCTTACTCCATATGTACTGCTGTGGCAATGCTGAATGCTGGTGCTGCTGGAACCACTAAAGCTCAGATTGACAAAGCATTTGGTTGGGGTGATATAGACCGCTTGTCAGGGCAGTACAGGAAGTTGTTAAGTTCTGTGGGCTCCAGTGGAGAATTCAACCTCAGCTCCAGCAACAGGTTGTATGTGGATAAAGAGTTCCACCCTCTACAGAGCTATACTAACACTCTTTCTGGTGACTTTGGAGCAGATTTGGAGAGAGTGGACTTCAGTTCAGGTGACAACTCCGACACAGTTCAACAAGTCAACTCCTGGGTTGAAAGTCAGACTAACGGCAAAATCGACAAGATGTTTAAAGAAATAGATCCGCAAACTAGAGCTATTCTCATCAACACCATATACTTCAACGCCCAATGGCAGATACCTTTTACTAAAACAGTGAAAAGGGCTTTCTACACAGATGAAAGTCACCACACCATGGTGGATACCATGACAGTGAGTGCGGTGTTCGGTTACTATAGAAGTGAGGATGTAGAGGTTGTTAAACTGCCCTACCTTGCCGGCAAGTCAGATATCAGCATGATAATAATAAAACCTGCAGCTAGAGGTGGCCTAGCAGCTCTCGAGAAAAAGATCATCAAGAAACGGTTTTCTAAAATCAATAAGTGGATAAAAAAGGTTAACGAAGTCTATTCATACACCATCGCGCTTTCAATGCCAAAGTTTGAGTTCGGGTCTAAATTTGACAACTTGAAAGAAATTCTCAAAGAAAACTTTGGTGTGAAAGATGTTTTTAATGTTGGTAAAGCGGATTTAAGCGGAATTGACGGAAGTAGAAATTTGTTCGTGTCCTCGGTTATTCATCAGTCTTTTATCTCTGTTGATGAGAAGAGAACGGAAGCAGCGGCAGCAACATCCGTACAAGTCCGATTCAGGAGCGGACCTAGAAGAGTTAATATTGATCACCCCTTTATGTTTCTGATATACGATCAGAAGAATAAAGTAGTTCTCTTTCTTGGTCGGATGTATACCCCTGGTAATGCAGAATGATCTTGGTACTGGAAACGAAACGTATTAGGAATGATCATGGAACAACAAATTATAAAATTGTGGTGTGGTGGGCTTTAAAAAAAAGAAACAAACAAACACGTAAATTGCAATTTCTCTGCTCAGTGAAGTTTTTCTGGTACAGTAAATTTTCTCTATAATAATTTTAATGACGAGTTTAAACTTCGGATTTCCCGTTCAAAATTTTATCTCTATTTTTGTATATTATCAATTAAAAATTTGGGCAATTCGATAATCTGTCGGTGGTCACTTAACGCACGGTTAGCTCACGGTTAACGCACACTTAACACATCGACAGATTACCGAATTGCCAAAATTTGTGTGTTAAAATTCTTTGTTTTTAATTTTGACAAGAATGATTATAATAATATTATAATGACTTAGATATCCCCCTTCCCCCCATCTATCCAAGTCTAATTGATTAAAAATTTTTGATTTTTCCAGAACTATGTTAAACCGCTTTTTATGTTTGCTGATTTACAAAATATAATGGATATAAGATTTAAATTATTATCGAAGAATTTATTTTATATTTTACAGATTATCATAAAATCGTACAATTTCATATCATTCATTTTAATTAATTGTTCATCTGTTTCACTTCTTTTAAAGAAAATTTACCCGATGAGGATACAATATGGAGTAATTGGTGGTATTAGAATCGATAAACAATCGCCAAATCGGTCAGCTTAGAATTAAACGATTTTAAATTTTTAAGTTTTTCAAGATTCAGATATGTTCAAAATAAATTACACTCCTTACAGCTATGTCAAGACAATAGCAAAACTTTAGTTGGTAGTCGGACAAATGATAGCTTGAATACAATTACCACCTTGCAAGCTGAGTAGCCCAACAGAAGAGCTGAGAGGCTGGCAAGAGACCTAAAGAACTCCCCATCAACCAGTGAAACCTATAACCCCTACCCCACTAACAGACTATAATAATGCACCTGTACCTGAGCGTCTTGCTTCATCTGGCGGTCGCTGTCTTCTCTCTCGCTTGTCTTTCTAGGTATATCATTACTAACTATCATAAGCATGATAAGTGCTACGGACAATTCAACAGGTTTCTTTCGGGAGAAATAAAGGAATCAATTTGATGAGGAAAAAATGATTAAGACAAAATATATTTCCTCACCAAACTCCCCCTCTTCAGGCTGGTGGGAGTGTTGTTAAGCTGGTTCCTGAGCGCAGTCACAAAACACCGTATACAGATAGGACACGTGACCTTGTTATCAGTTCACGACATCAAGGTAGAGACCCGGGACAATGGCATTAAACTCAGAGTCAGTCATGTCTCCATTGTCTCCAAGCTCTTCTCTAATTCCATGTAGGTATTTCCGAGGATTATGATTGTTTTTATATTGTTAACTGCCCTTAAGCCCTTTTTATAGTTTTAATGGGCTGCCCCAAATATCTTCTTAAAATTATTAAATAACACTTAACATTACCAAGTTATAGTTTTATTTGTCTCGGTCCTAAATCCCTCGAATTAATAAATTCTCCTTTAACTCTTTAACCCTTTAACCCCTGTTATAAATGACATAGATTTGGATAATACACATTTTACAAAGTCACTTCATTAAATCATATTCTAGAAATCCCCCCGTACCCCTGGGACTGGTAACCACTTAGTTACCACCTAGTTACCACCTAGTTACCACCTAGTTACCACCTAGTTACCACCTAGTTACCACCTAGTTACCACCTAGTTACCACCTAGTTACCACCTAGTTACCACCTAGTTACCACCTAGTTACCACCTAGTTACCACCTAGTTACCACCTAGTTACCACCTAGTTACCACCTAGTTACCACCTAGTTACCGCCTAGTAACCACCTAGTTACCACCTAGTTACCACCTAGTAACCACCTAGTTACCACCTAGTAACCACCTACTTACCACTTAGTTACCACCTAGTAACCACCTAGTTACCACCTAGTTACCACCTAGTTACCACCTAGTTACCACATAGTTACCACCTAGTAACCACCTAGTTACCACCTAGTTACCACCTAGTTACCACTTAGTTACCACCTAGTAACCACCTAGTTACCACCTAGTTACCACCTAGTTACCACCTCGTACCCTCAGGAGGTGGGTGGGACTGTTTGTAGGCCAGGTTGATGTAAAACTACCTGAATTAGGAGCACTTCTCGCACGGAGAAAGAAACAGACCTTATCAGTTACAACTGCTTCCTCCGACAAGAAACCTTTCAGAATGCCTCCTTTTATCGTTTACCTAATTCAGGTAATGTTAGAAATGTAACCACGGTAACGTAACCATGGTTATGTTAGAAATTTAAACATGCATGACTTTATCTTGTTCCAAATATAGAAATGTGTATTTTTTAAGCAAGGACTGGTTTGGATTTCTAATCAGTATAAATTAACAAGATGTATGTATAGTAGAAGTTTTCGGGTTTGTTATTAAACTATCGAAGATAACATAAATATTGTCGTGTTAACACAAGATTTGCCGTTCATTACAATGTTATGTGTCAAAATACAAGGAATTTCAAGGTTTTATCTCAAGTATCTTCTTAAACTGACATAATATTTCAGAGAGTACACTTTAGTGTGGAGAGTATCACATTACAGGCAAAAGATAGATCACTCAGTGTGGCCGTATCGCTTTCAACTGGGGTTAATCTGGTTTCTTTTCCTGATAAGGACAACAAGTAATGTGCTTGTTTATTAATTTTATTATTGATGGTCATGGTAGTCATATGTTTTAAATTACATTTAACATATCAGTAAAACATCTGGAAGACATTTTTAATAAATACTTTAAAGTTTCCAATTCTGGACTCGTAACCATGAGTGGAAATGATCAAATTTTTGCGGGAGTGCTCACGTTATATCCTTCCCTTTCAGATTCGTATCATCACATTTAGCTATGGACCATATAGAGATAATACTGAAAGAAGACAAAACGACTTACTTAAACACTTCGTTTGGAGTTAAACTGGACCTTTTATTTTCGTATTACTTTGAATCGGTGGGTTTACCTTATGTAGTAGAAATACTGTAACACTTTCTGTTGTACTTACTGAGTCTTCTTACACACTTTGCCGTGATAATGGTTAACAAGTGATCATTACCCGTACTAGGGAGTCTTGTAAAAACACTTGGTGAGATGCTATACATTTGTTCACGCTCAAATAGAAAACAATTAGGAACAAAAAGTAAAGCAACAATATTTCAGATAGAGACTATAAAAGTATCAGTGGATATGCTATCTGTAATGGCTTATGAGGGGATACTAGATGTGATAAAACAGTTCAATCTCCGGAACAAATCGCCCTCCAATTCTATTGGTATTAAACTAATTACAACACTACAAATCTATTACATTTATTGAGAATTATGTAATGTAACGCGATGGAAGTATTTTAAGCGGGCATATCCTGTCCAAACCCAGGATACATGACATAAAGAATTTGGTTTAACTTGCTTGTATGAAAAGCATTTTCCACCACTTTATAACGTGTCGTACCGTGCCCCGATATAATCCTTAAACCTTCATAACCGTTATTTTGTCCCTTTTTGTCCACCCTACTTTTTGTCCGTTTTAAAAATAAAGGGTACCGAACGGACAAAAACGGACACAAAACATGAGCCCCCCCCTTTTATTAGGTGAACTTATCCCCAGTGTAGTGCTCTATTCTAAATGCCGGTCTAGGGTAAATAGAACTAATGTACCACTCAACCTTCAGAGACGGTAACAAAACAGAAGATCTCTATTTTCAAGAAGATATCCAGGATACTGCCCCTGGTTGCTAAAGACCGCAGTTTAAGGATACAGAACGTGTCGTGCAGTGTGTCAGATGTAGAGGAAACTAGGTCAGTGAGAATGTCCATATAAATAGTACACCAACACAGCAACAAGGGACATAATTGAATGTTTTTATAGTGCAGGAAACTCAGGGCACCTCCATTATTACCCGTTATATTCTCCTCAGGAACATGAGTTTTAAGATAGAGAGTATGACAGAAGAAGGAGCACACAGCACATCAGACGCACTCATCGAGAACTTGTCTCTTAGCAACGCTAAAGTTTACATCAACAACACAGACTTCTTGTCTATTGGCTCTATTAAATTATCTCCTTTCAAGGTTTGTTAACACGTGTCGATGTGTTCGTAGTTTAAACAGATGTTCGAACTGCTGATAAGAAGGTGAAAAAAACAAACATCTTGAACACTAGATATATTTTGTTGCGTCCATCCACCCTAATAATAACTCTAAATAGCACAGCCTTACATAATCAACAGATAATCGTCTCACTGTAGCAATCAGTAAATACAATAACGATATAAATGAACGTTATAATCATAAAATTACTCATTATGCTAATAATAATATAATCACATAATCCCTAATTACCTAATCATTATGTTCACTCTCCAGGTTACTGGATTAAATAAGAGAGAAGTGACAGTTAACGTATCAGCTCATATTGATATGCCCTCTATTCAATGGTTCAACACTGAGTTAGTTTCCTGGGTTACCTCTATCCCTGTATCTACTGCACCTAGAGAACAAGGTAGGGTTGGTTGGGGCTGTTGTTTTCTTGTAGAAGCTTAACCTTGGGTTTTTATCTCAATGTCCATGTTTGTTAATGCGATAAAATCCTTTTTGCCCAGGTATCCCCAAAGAATCAGACTCTATTGATGCTCCTACCCTATCTATAACAAGCATTACAAGACTTACTAACCTATCTGTCAAGATGTTTGAAGACAGCAAGTCCGTCAGGAAGCTGATCACCCTTACCCTCCCTTCTCTAGACTTTCATCACAGGTATAAAGGTTTCTTCTTTATGCGAACGTGTTGTGGAACGTTGAAACATGAAGTTCTCCATTTTAGTTTAATAATGGATATTGAATTGTTTCTATTATTTTCATACAGCCTATTATTTCAGTAAATCGTATGACAAGTTGAGTGTTGGGATTGCTTGCAAAGGTTTGTTACTCCAGCTACCAATACCACTGAAGATAAAGAAGAGGTTGAGAGACAGGTTACCCGCTATTCAGGAGAACCATTTGTGGGGGCAAGTGCTGGACTTTAAATCTCTTACAGTCAAGGTTAGTAAATAGTAGTAGTAGTTAGTAATAGTACAGTCAAGGTATTCACTGCAAAATAAGATAGCTACTCAGCACATTGACATTTGACGCTATTGTACTATTTGTTGACTGTTTTGGAGGTGAAATGGCTCAAGTTAAGTAAGAATTTTAGCGATTCTTACGTCAGAGATGTTAGCAGTAAGTTAGCACGAATAGTAGTACAGTATTACCTAACAACACCAATATGCAATGCTCTAAAGTCTAAATATATTCCCTTACCAGGTCCAAAAATACAAAGAAACTATAAAGGTTGATGTTGATATGCAGAACTCGGTAATGGAGTGGAACTATCATTTCTCAAACCTAATCATGGAGCTAATGCCACAGTTTATTATAATGTTGCCTGTTCTTTCTACAGTCAAGACTCCTTCAGCTGCTACTACTCCATCTAAACCACGAGCCATTGGTGAGCAATGTGAATTTCATATTTTTGGTTTCACCACTATCAGTCAGGTTCAGAAATTAATTAAGATTGTGATTTCGTTTGATCATTAGAGGGCTTGATGTACGACATTAAGTCATTGCAATATTCTTTCAGATATCGACTGTAACATAGTCAGATTGAACGTGTTCCTTCTGTCAAATGAACCAGGTAAGTGTTATTAGTGTTATGAAGCCTGGTCAAGCTCATATGTTATATCATGGCTGATTGCCAACTTCAGAGAATGTCCAGCCGTCTGCCAGTCACACTGCAATATGAATATTGCGTAACGCGCGCAGCTTCGCAAGTGTTGCGGGATGCAGCTTTCATAGCGAGCCACACGGACAAATTAATATTTTGTTCTTAATTTACGTACAACCCGCACGCAATTTGTTGCGTGGACTTATGATATGTAAATAAACTAATGATATGCAAATAATCTTGCTTTTCGAAGCAACATCATCATTGTCACACAGTCGTCACTGACGGCTTTTAATGTGTTGGTTACACTCATCTGTTGATAAACGGCAATAAAGATGGGCCATAGCACGACGAAGTCTTCGATTATTTTACATATTATTGTCTTTATAATTCAAATTCCAAATACTTTCAAAAATATTTCAAATATTTTAGAAGATCTTGCATTTTTTCTTATCTCAGGAGAAGTTTGCTCTCTGCTTCACATCAACAAATTGAATCTGGACAAAAGGGGTATAAGAAGTAATCTGTCCGTTGAGAACCTTTACCTTCACACAATGGAGCGATTACCTGAGGTATTTGAGAGCAGCTCATCATTCCATTTTACTTTTCTGCAGATTATAAACGCACGGTTTATTAACATTCCAAGTACTGTTCAAAAGGCAGGCAAACAGAAAATCACGAACAGTTTAGTCTTTAAAAAAATCCTTTATCACCTTACACAGTGGGTGTCCCATGTAAAGCAACCTAATACACAACCTCCCCAGATCTACCTGTGTAACATAGAGTTAGAGGAGAGCGACACAATGCTCTACCTAGCTAAAGCCTCCGTAACACGTGACTTGAGCGGAGTATGTGGGGATGTGAGCAGTGTGGCGGTCAGCTGGGAACCTACCCAACACAGAGTGTTGGAGAGTTGTGTCAACAAGACTAAGGGGTCCATCATTTGCATCAGAGGTGAGAACTGGTATGCAGTGTAGTTAGATGACAGTATATTTATATTCAATGATATTGAGAAAGGCATTACTCGACACTAAGGCCTTATTGTGATATTAATATAATTGTGATATTCTTCACTTTCTCAGATTTGTTGATGTACCAGCGCCCAACTCAGCCCAGTGCTCCCTCTACAAGTCCCTCGGTTCCTATCAACAAGATCGTAGTCAATGTTACCAGAACTTCTCTCAACTTTATAACTTCCCCATCTAACCAGTAAGTGACAAAACAAGTCACTATAGTTACACGTTACCATAGTTACAAGTTACCATAGTAACAAGTTACCATAGTAACAAGTTACCATAGTAACAAGTTACAAGTTACCATAGTTACAAGTTACCATAGTTACAAGTTACCATAGTTACAAGTAACCATAGTTACAAGTTACCATAGTTACAAGTTACCATAGTTACAAGTTACCACAGTTACAAGTTATCATAGTAACAAGTTACCATATTTACAAGTTACCATAGTAACAAGTTACCATAGTAACCACCTTCCTAGTGATGGAAGCCTTGGCGCTGTTCAATAATCACTTTGGTTTGCTGTTTTGCACTTTTTATAAAGGCACATTAAAATTAAGATCACTTGCAGGATATCGATAGAACTGACTCCGTTTGAACTGAAGGTGGTGGACAGCGGAGTAAAGTTGAGGGTCAGTGACAATGTTACTGTTATTATGGACGGGCATCAGATCCTCTACATCACAGTAAGTAACACAAAACATTCCAAAACTGTATATTATTTTGTTACTATTTACTTACTTAGGAGACTTAGGAGATATTCGTAGATTCCTCTACTGGGTCATTGAATAGTTCGACGGCCTTTGCAGCATCGCTGGTGCCTTATTCATACTCCAGTCCAGCAAAGAATTCCCATTCAAAATGAAAATATTTTATACGAATTAATCATGTGGCTCATTGTTGTAGAGTAACATCCAGATAGTTGTAGATCACAAATCGGGACACGGTCTGTAAAAATCCTATCCGACCTTGTACACACTGAGGTGAACTACCCTGAACCACCCTGAACCACCCCACACTTGAACCACCCTAATACACACAGAATGAAAACACTTTCGCCTCCTCAGGATGTTGGGTTAGAGCACGTGGTTCAGGAGAAAGAGCTGCTTGAAGTTAGAGAGTGCTACCCAGAGTTCGCTTCAACTAACCGAGCATGGTACGAAACTTTGTTAACTTAACTAATTGTATTATTACTTATGTAAATTGCTAACAGAAATAGCCAACTGAACTGATACCAGCTTAGGCTACCTCTTTTATCTGATCGTATATATTTGATTCGAAATTATCGGAGATGGTGTCCTGATCACATGGGTAATACGTGGAGTTTAGGATAAATTGCCGATAAACAATGAATTTTCCACTGACCTCAAGTGGCCTCAGCTTATAAACCCCTCAAACCACAGGTACTTCCACTGCCGGGAGTTCAAAGTGTTTCTGCCCCACAACTACGGCAGAAACCCCACAAATAGCAACCACCCAACTCTGGCTCTGGCTATTGACGAGGCTCAGAACTGTTTTAAAATGTTGAAGGCTCTGCACAGGTGGGTGACTATTTGTTTAATTAATATTAACTCTGTGACGTCACGTGGCGTTGTGTGACGTCACGTGTCGTTGTGTGACGTCACGTGGCGTTGTGTGACGTCACGTGGTGTTGAAGGCTCTGCACAGGTGGGGGACTATTTGTTTAAGTAATGTTATTTATAGATTATTTATTTGCATGTTTTGTATCGCTCTGATACAGTGAATATTCATATTACTAACCCTATCATGTTTACCTATTTTTACTTTGTTGATACCTTACTCGGGATTATTATAACCGGGATAAAGTGGTGGGTTTTGGAAGATTCCGCCATATTTTTCCCGGTCAAAAATTTTACCAGTCATAAAAAAACCCGCCGACTCAGATTATGGGGTTCCAAGGGGGTGGTGATCATCATATTTTCTTTGAAGTCTCATATGTGCTAGAGAAGACTTTTGAAGCAGTGGATGGAGGGCTGTAACTTAATTGGCGGTTGCTACCATAATTTCGTTATAAAAATCACAATTTGGTTATAGAAATCAGATTTCAGGGTGGACCGTGATTCTCACTTTTCTTGCCCATGAAGTGAGTAAACTGTGCCACTATTTCATGGTCCACGGTGGATTGATTACTGGAGCAGTTGAAGATGCAAAGCCAAGACGTTCCCCAATACCAAGCGGTGGGCAGGAAATTAAGCTCCGGCTGACCTTCAGAGCAGTAGCCCCATTAGCGGACAAAATGAAAGTCTTGTTAAGACAACAATACAACTTCGAATTTGACGGTCAGTGCAGCAGGGGGATATCAATAATGATAATGGAGGGGACATCAGCGATAATGAGAATGAGAATACGCTTTAATGAAGATTTGACTTATTATTGCTATAGATTTATTTTCCTTTAAATACTAGACGTGTCTTTTTTTCTATTTCTGAGTAATATCAGTAACTGTAAATTGAAATAACTAACAGAAATTTCGGTTGAAAATTTGTTGACCTCTGAAAAAAAACTTGAAAGGTCGGCCACCGGTAAATACATGACCGGGATAATTTGGCGGGTTTTGGGAAATTCCGCCATATTTTTCCCGGTTATTAATTTTCCCAGTCATAAATTAACCCGCTATAATATTCCCGAGTAAGGTAAATAACAAGTAAGTTGGGTAATATGGGCCCACTTTCTACTAACCCAGTTACTGATATCTCACCAGGGTACCAAGACTTGCTAGTGACGGTGAACCACTGTACGCTGACTGTAAAGTGGAGATCAAACAATTCCTGGTGAGTTTGATATTGTTAAAACTTAGTTTAATAAGTTTATAAGTTTTGTAAGTCTCTTGACATATAACTGTGTAGTGTCTACTCATCATTGTGAAGGTATTTCTGGTAGTAAACCCTTCTAATCGTGTCAATTCGTTTCATCAAGGCATGATTCAAAGAGTAAAACAGATTTTTCTTCCAAATTAATATTTTGATGTTTAACAGAATAACAGAGTTTCGTCTGAGTTTGTTCGGAGAATTTAAAACATTATTATACATTATACATTATACATTATACATTATACATTATATATTACACATTACACATTATACATTATACACTATACATTATACACTATACATTATATACTATACATTATATACTATACATTATACATTGACAACTGACAATTTACAATTGCCCTCAAACAATTATGAGGCATCATCAGACTTAAGAATATCATGATTTGTTTTATCAACTAATAATCACAATTACGTTACATCAAATCAAATAACATACAATAATTAAACTCAAAGTAAATCAAGATAAAGCAAAAAGTCCTTAATAATCAAATAAAGTGGGCAGGCTGTAATTTTAACTTGATGCAGCTGTCATCAGATATCATCTCTCTTAGAGCAGTATCTGCTATTTTGAAGCTGAAAAAGGCAGTTTGGTGAATAGTCTTAGCTAATGTACAAGTTTATGATTTTTAGAACTCTCAAACAAAGAATTGGGCTAATCAACAAGTTACCAAAGTTACAAGTTACCAAAGTTACAAGTTACCATAGTAACAGGTTACTTAACATTGGCCCACACGTGGATGCGTCTAGCACAGTAATCTATCAGTTCGCCCAGAGTAGCTACGTTAGCTCCAATAAACAGCCCCAGATTACCCCCCACATCTCCCAGTAAGTTCATGGTAGTGTAAGCAGGAACTTTCTGCACGTTCTCTATAGCCAGCGTCTCAAAGTACACGTGCAGCCTGATAAAGTTCTCTCTCAGGTCAGATACTGTATTGTAATCCTCGTTGAGTCCCAGTAGCTTGGTAGCCGCGTTAAGTGGGGGGTACTGCGCGCGCGACAACTTGTACTCGTAGTACGTGTCCGTACACGGGTCAATACACCAGCAGCCCTTAATCCTATCCTCGTAGAAACCCTGGTGGATTCGCTTTATCACCTTGACAGTGCAGTCGTGGTGTGTGAACAAGCTGCAGATGGTGATGTTCTCCAGAGGCATGTGACTCTGTTTACATTTGCATTCCTCGTCCAGGATCTGGGCGTGGCATTCCAGCTGACACGCTACCTGGGTGTTTGGATCGTAATAAAACTAAACTGGTAGTTTTAATTAAATACATAATAATATTATATATGAATAATATTATATATATGAATAATGTGAATAATAAACTTTACCACGGAGTAAGTGGTGTTGTTCATGAGAGGACGGGAGGTACAGTTAAAATAGGGTTGTCCCAGGTTGTTTATACGGAGTGTCCGTGTGCTGATGTACGCTTCACTTCCTGGAGGGATTGCTAGACCGTATTCCTTGATCAGCGGGGGCTCCTTGTAGTGGTGCAACATCACTTTTATTCCTGTTAATGTTGTGATTTACGATTTGTTTTTAACACTTTATTTAAACAAATTATTTAGGAAATCCCTTTAGCGATGCTTTGTTTCAACGAAGAATACAATTCATGGTTGCTCAGCATCACACAACCCAGGTTACCATAGTTATTCAGCACTTACCCGCACTCTCCTGGGTATCAGCGTATTCTGACTGGTTGATGTTAATTATAAAAGTGGCCCCGAAATCATTTCCGGTCCTCTTGACAGTCTTGGTGCCATCAGCGTTGAAAGTGTAGCAGACCCCCAGCTCAGTCCGTCTCTCCGTGATATGCTCTCTGATATCCACCTCCCCATCTGTCAATTCCTCCTCGTCAAATATAACTTGCTTGAACATGTCATATATACCGTGTTTACCCGACTTCTCCAAATCCAGAATTAGCAGCTGTTTGGCTGTTCTGTTGTCTGCCTCTGTTATAGGCCTGGTGGAGGGTTACCATAGTTACAAGACCTGGTGGGGGTTACAGTTACAATGAACAGGTTACCATAGTTACAAGACCTGGTGGGGGTTACAGTTACAATAAACAGGTTACCATAGTTACAAGACCTGGTGGGGGTTACAGTTACAATAAACAGGTTACCATAGTTAAAGACCTGGTGGGGGTTACAGTTACAATAAACAGGTAACCATAGTTACAAGACCTGGTGGGGGTTACAGTTACAATAAACAGGTTACCATAGTTACAGGACCTGGTGGGGGTTACAGTTACAATAAACAGGTAACCATAGTTACAAGACCTGGTGGGGGTTACAGTTACAATAAACAGGTAACCATAGTTACAAGACCTGGTGGGGGTTACAGTTACAATAAACAGGTAACCATAGTTACAAGACCTGGTGGGGGTTACAGTTACAATAAACAGGTTACCATAGTTACAAGACCTGGTGGGGGTTACAGTTACAATAAACAGGTTACCATAGTTACAAGACCTGGTGGGGGTTACAGTTACAATAAATAGGTAACCATAGTTACAAGACCTGGTGGGGGGTAACAGTTACAATAAACAGGTTACCATAGTTACAAGACCTGGTGGGGGGTTACAGTTACAATAAACAGGTAATCATCGTTACAAGACCTGGTGGGGGTTACAGTTACAATAAACAGGTAACCATAGTTACAAGACCTGGTGGGGGTTACAGTTACAATAAACAGGTTACCATAGTTACAAGACCTGGTGGAGGGTTACAGTTACAATAAACAGGTTACCATAGTTACAAGACCTGGTGGGGGTTACAGTTACAATAAACAGGTTACCATAGTTACAAGACCTGGTGGGGGTTACAGTTACAATAAACAGGTTACCATAGTTACAAGACCTGGTGGGGGTTACAGTTACAATAAACAGGTTACCATAGTTACAAGACCTGGTGGGGGTTACAGTTACAATAAACAGGTTACCATAGTTACAGGACCTGGTGGGGGTTACAGTTACAATAAACAGGTAACCATAGTTACAAGACCTGGTGGGGGTTACAGTTACAATAAACAGGTTACCATAGTTACAAGACCTGGTGGGGGTTACAGTTACAATAAACAGGTTACCATAGTTACAAGACCTGTTGGGGGTTACAGTTACAATAAACAGGTTACCATAGTTACAAGACCTGGTGGGGTTTACAGTAACAATAAACAGGTTACCATAGTTACAAGACCTGGTGAGGGGGGGGGGGGGGGGGGGGAGGTGACAGTTTCTATTGGCGAGGCAGTTGGTGGTGTAAATGCGGTGATTTTAAAATTTTAAACTTTTTTAACCACATTTATATTCACAGCATAAAAAAGTAATATAAATACTAACAAGCCGAGTTCATCAAGAACGTCCGGCCCCCAGACCCTCGCAATCTCGTACTTCTTTACCACTAGATTCTCCGACTGGTTCAACCAACTCTTCCTGGAACAGTTAAATTATTAGATCACCCATTCAACTCATCAGTCAATACTTGAATAATTGGCTCTCTGTGTAAAATTAAAATTCTGTTTTGAGGTACGAAATTGTGTTTTGATACGATTCATGAATTGCAACCTATAATATTATCTTCATGTAACCTATATATAACTCCTCATACCTGTATTTGTTAAGATTGCAGATAGTGATGGCTGGCATGGTGAGTTTACCCCCTATGTTATATGTAAAACTCAGCTGTGAGGAGGTATCAAACGCGAAGTATTGGGTAAATGCAGCGTGGATGTTTGACAAGGCGTACCTGAAATAAAGTAAATTGTTGGAAACAATTCAGAAGTAAGTTATAAATAGTAATCTTTCTTCGCTCTTTATGAGTGGGTCGATCATATAGTTTGATAGTTGGTGACGAAGTGAGAGTCTTAGTTTAAGCTAATTACAACACTACAAATCTATTACATTTATTGAGCTATGTAAGTTATTGTAACGTCCTGTCTATGACAAAGGCGTGTTGTCGAAACATCGACAACTAATTGCTTTGAAACACCGAGTAGAGACTCTTACTTCGTCACCAACTATCAAACTATAAGTTATAAATAAGTTAGAAAAAGTTAAAAATAAATAAGTTATAAATAAGTTATAAATGAGTTATAAATAAGTTAAAAATAAGTCTCACCCGCAGCAAATTACCCAGAACACAAACCAAAGAACTCTTCTGAAAGGAGGACTGTCCTCTTCAAATATAAACCTGTCAATTAGATACTTAACTACCTTACTCGGGAATATTATAGCGGGTTAATTTATGACTGGGAAAATTAATAACCGGGAAAAATATGGCGGAATTTCCCAAAACCCGCCAAATTATCCCGGTCATGTATTTACCGGTGGCCGACCTTTCAAGTTTTTTTTCAGAGGTCAACAAATTTTCAACCGAAATTTCTGTTTTTGTTACTTGTTAAAGAAGTTATTTCAATTTACAGTTACTGATATTACTCAGAAATAGAAAAAAAGACACGTCTAGTATTTAAAGGAAAATAAATCTATAGCAATAATAAGTCAAATCTTCATTAAAGCGTATTCTCATTCTCATTATCGCTGATGTCCCCTCCATTATCATTATTGATATCCCCCTGCTGCACTGACCGTCAAATTCGAAGTTGTATTGTTGTCTTAACAAGACTTTCATTTTGTCCGCTAATGGGGCTACTGCTCTGAAGGTCAGCCGGAGCTTAATTTCCTGTCCACCGCTTGGTATTGGGGAACGTCTTGGCTTTGCATCTTCAACTGCTCCAGTAATCAATCCACCGTGGACCATGAAATAGTGGCACAGTTTACTCACTTCATGGGCAAGAAAAGTGAGAATCACGGTCCACCCTGAAATCTGATTTCTATAACCAAATTGTGATTTTTATAACGAAATTATGGTAGCAACCGCCAATTAAGTTACAGCCCTCCATCCACTGCTTCAAAAGTCTTCTCTAGCACATATGAGACTTCAAAGAAAATATGATGATCACCACCCCCTTGGAACCCCATAATCTGAGTCGGCGGGTTTTTTTATGACTGGTAAAATTTTTGACCGGGAAAAATATGGCGGAATCTTCCAAAACCCACCACTTTATCCCGGTTATAATAATCCCGAGTAAGGTAGATAGTTGGATACTAGATAGTTGGATACTAGATAGTTGGATACTAGATAGTTGTATACTAGATAGTTGGATACTAGATAGTTGGATACTAGATAGTTGGATACTAGATAGTTGGATACTAGATAGTTGGATACTAGATAGTTGGATGTGTGAATTAGTTGGAGAATAGAAAATGCGTCTTTTTGTTTCCAAACGTCTCGGCTAGTTTGTGAATGTATTATCACAGATGAGCAACTATTTCACGACCAGTACCCGTACAAGCAAGGTACAAGGACCATGGTACTTTGTACCTGTTTAGTGTTTACCTGATAAAGCTAGCTGTGATGGCTTGCATGAAGTCACTAAAGGACTCTACAACTGGTTTAGGCGTCTTCTTCAGTTCCTCCGGGTTCAATGTAAGCGTGCTTGGTTCCGCCGTATCACTACCTATCTCACAGTAATTCTCTGCGTTTGTACTTTCTTGCAATGTTAGTTACGTGATAAAGTAGCTAACTAGCATGCTTGTGAACCACCCTAATGCTCACTCGTTGTGGGTATGACCACAAGTGAGTCCTACAATTTAGCAAACTTGTTTTATATTCAACAAACTCCGCCAACTCACCTTTAGCAGCAGCAGCAGCTCGTGCAGCTCTCACAAGATCGTAGTCCTTGTTCTCCCTGTACTCCTGAAGTGCAGCCCTCTTGCTCTCCTGAAACCCACTCTGGCGGTGTCTCTGACAGAAACTCTGCCCACGTGCAGTGTAATCCCGCGCGGCGCCCATCTGATCTCGTAACGACACATATCGGGGGATCTCGTCTTGCCAGCTATCCCCACCACAATACCCGGACCCGGGCCGGAATATAACGCTATTGAAGCCGTAAGAAGGGTCTTGGGAGGGGTGGTAGTAGTGGTCATGGTAACGTGACACGTGCTCGGGACACGTGCTCCGTGACACGTGCTGCGGTGCAGGGCGGCGCTCGTGGGGCAGGAGCACTGACCCTATAGTGTGGGGCGAGCTTGCACTTTCCATAGCCCTTATCTGTGTACGGAACGATCTTTGTTTAAATTAAAGCAAATGCCTGGAAATTGTTAACTGCCTTTTCAATAGAAGTTGAATCTTAATACTCTCAAAGATCGATAGAATGATTAAAGAGCGTTTTCTTAACTCGACAAAAACTGAAAGCAAACAAAGATAAACGGTCCATGTGTGCACGATCCAACTGCTAGCACTAAACTTAGATCTCCTTACTAAACCAGTTGTTAAAGGTTTGGCATTCTTCTATTTAGGACTGATGGGCTTCTGATTATTTAATTGTTTACGTTTTGACCAGTCATTTCGTTTACAATTATCGGTCAACATGCACTATTTGTCACTGGTGAAATACCTGCCAAGTGTTCCGGAGACACACAATTAGCACATCTTTGGTATCGGACATGATCAAACTGATGTACTTCACATTTATTTCTACGCAATTAGATGTTATTAAAGTGATGAGTCAGACTTTAAACATGGACAATTATACTTCTGCAATTGTTTTACTACCGGGGCCAGGGTGAGGGGTGAGGGGGAGGCGGTGTTGTATGTAGTATGTACTCTTATCAACCTATCCGGCCTTCAGCCGGATTTCACTGTAGCAGTTAAAACGGTTCCAAAGTACGATCATGCGCTTAGTCGAAGCCCGCATCAGCCTGAAAAAATATGATCAAACATCACCAGTGAGGATAGGGGCCATCTACTTAGGACGTCCGCCAAAATCGCAGATTTTTAGACCACCCCCTCCTCCTGTCCGGGTGTGTCCGAATTTTCAAAACCACCCCCCTCCCTATTTGCCGGACGAAATAAATGGGACTTTTTAAAAAATTCTGCCAAAATTTCCGGACGTCCGAATTTTCAGAAACCACCCCCTCCTCCTGTCCGGATTTGTTCAAAATTCCAAAACCACCCCCCTCCCTATTTGCCGGACGTCCTAAGTAGATGGCTCCATAAGGAAACACTGTTAAAGAAACACCCGCTGACTCGAAAACCCTGGTGCACATTTTACAGTTTTATAAGGAAAAAATTATTTAAAACTATCTGGATGTAGGCTATCTAGATTCTAGACTGTTTATTAGATTATATATTGATGATCATGTAAAACTAATTATTACTGGAATGGGTGACTGTTGAGACTTGAGGTGGAACACCACTTATATAGCACATAATGTAATTTTCTTGCTGCAGTTTGGGCTAGTCAGGGCTAGTTAACTACAGTGAAACCACTTGCGGAGCTGTTTCTTTGATTGTGTCGGAATAGTTTTTTTACGATAATAACTCTTTCGTACTCATAGTTAATTATTGAGCTTTTTAGTAGTAGACTATTTTGTATTTTATATTTTATTACTGGATTAGACACTTACATTTTACATGAGTGATGAGTCTAGTTATACATTACTTTTTCATATGTTATTGATCTGAGGTGTGGCATTGCCAGATCCCAGTTCAATTTTTAACGGAGTTTTATATTAACAGGAAACGATGTAACAGAGTCAACATATTTTAATGTTGCCATGGGGTGGCAAGTCCCCATACATCGTAGTCCGATAGTTTCACTGCGTCCTAATCAGGCCGGGATTTAAAAAACAGAATTTCTATCTTTTTAATCCAATTTAACTTCAAATTCATTTTTTATTACTTTAAATTTATATCTTATTACTTAGACAAATGAAACGACTGTTAAGAATCGAACTAATCGAATTGAAATCGATACTCGAAGGATTGATTAGATTTCCGAAGATGTAGTTAGTACTTATTAGATTGGTCACTGGGCCCTTTATACGAAGGTTGCTTAAAATGTTCCATTTCAACGTAGAAATATCGTGAAAATCCCGGTCCCGGCCGGGATTTCAAATTTATCCCGGTCCCGGCCGGGACAAAATTCCGATCCCGGTCGACCCCTGGTCCTAATATTATAAAATGACATTCATTATTATACTAACAAAATAGGTAACAGAAATGTGTATTATTATCATAATCATACATTATTAAAAAAAGTCTATTTAAATGAATATTGTTCCTGGAATTCAATTGTATTATTTGATTGTGTATAATGTATTATTTACTGAAATTTCTCATTTCTTAATTTGTCCAATATACTATATAATATGCATCCGCTGAAAAATGATCGTATAAAAAAATTTATAATACTAAAATAATAGTCAAATTATGAGTGATTTACGGCACTCCTGAATCATGATAATTATTACTGACTTCCAGTTCCCCCTGATTGTATTTATTTAATTAACCAGCACACTTTTCAGATGTCATGTTGTCACATAAAAAGCGAAGTGAAAACCGAAGAAGAGGATTTGATAAGCAAAACTGAAGGTTTTCTGTGTCCAGCATGTGGTGAACAACTTTTGAACGAGAAGTATTTCATTGAACATCTCAGGGAACGCCATTATAAACCTGATCTGCAAGTACAAGATGAGGAACACAGTTTGTTACGTGAATTTACTGGAGGTTCTGTTCATAACAATGGTCATATTACAGAACAAGATGGTTGTTGTGTTCAAAATAAATGTGACTTTAAATCAGAAGTAAAAACTGAGCAGAGTGAATTTAATGAAGAGGCTGGAGGCTTTCTCTGCTCAGTTTGTGGGGAACATTATGCGGAGGAGGCCAGTTTTATTGAGCATATCAAGGATCACGTTAATACTTCAGGCAAACGAAAAAGACCAAGATGTGACGAATTTCAAAGTGATCGGGATAATAGTAGCGAAGTAGCTAATCTGGACTATTCTACCATATATCAGAAGAATCCCAATTCTCAAGAAAGTGAAAACCTGTTGAAATGTCCTGATTGTTCGTATACAACAGCTCGTAAATCAAACCTCAGAGTACATATGAAGACTCACTCGGGAGAGAAACCATATAAATGTCCAGATTGTTCGTATGCAGCAGCTTTGAAATCACATCTCAAAGTACATATGGTGATTCACTCGGGAGAGAGACCATATAAATGTCCAGATTGTTCGTATGAAGCAGTTCGGAAATCAGATCTCAAAGTACATATGAAGATTCACTCCGGTGAGAAACCATTTATATGTCCAGATTGTTCGTATGCAGCAGTTCGGAGATCAGAGCTCAAAGTACATGTGATGACTCACTCCGGTGAGAAACCATATAAATGTCCAGATTGTTCCTATGCAGCAGCTCAGAAATCAATCCTCAAAGTACATATGAAGACTCACTCGGGATAGAAATAATTCAACTGTTCAGATTGTTCTTTTAAAGCAGCCCAGAATTCAAATCTACTAAAACCGCAGAAAATGCATGCTTGCCAGACACGAGAGAACTCATACCGGCCAAAAACTATTCAAATTTTTGGAATGATCATTATATTAAAAATTGCACCAAAAGTGTATTTTTTGAACATTAGAAGACTTGTACCGGCAAAAAACTGTACAACTACTGTTCCGTGTGTTCATTATGCTCTCCTTGCTGGAGTTATCTAGTCAAAGAACACATATTCCGGCGAGAAAACTCTGCCCTGATGCTGTAACAACACTAACTAACTAGACATATGGGAACTCGATAATAATTAGCAGACTGAGAAATTGTACTTCTGTTATAAGTTCTTTGCGATATATTTGTCTTAATCGTATTATACCTTATCTTGTTTGATTAATAATGAATATTTAAATCGACCAGCTTCTATTAGGGATCTAGAGGCACATATTAGGTGCGATGGGTGCGGGATCGCACAATTTACCGTTTTCTGCACATTTCCGCATAATTTATTGTTTTCCGCACATTTTGTAATTTTCTGCATATTTCCGCATAATCTAGCATTTTCCGCGTAATTTTGCATAATTTTGAAATTTTTGCGTTAAGATTTTCGAGTGTAAAAACCAAAATATGTTAAAAGTCGGGCCCTTTTAGGACCGTGACTCAGGCCCTTTCGGGACCCTGACCCAGGCTCTTTCGGGACCGTGACCCAGGCCCTTTTGGAACTCATACCTAGGCCACGTGACCCAGTTACCACTTGACCCAGGCCCTTTCGGGACCCTGACCCAGGCCCTTTCGGGACCGTGACCCAGGCCCTTTTGGAACTCATGCCTAGGCCATGTGACCCGGTTACCACGTGACCCAGGCCCTTTCGGGACCGTGACCCAGGCCCTTTCGGGACCGTTACCCAGGCCCTTTCGGGACCGTGACCCAGGCCCTTTCGGGACCGTGACCCAGGCCCTTTCGGGACCGTGACCCAGGCCGTTATGGAACCCTCGTCGTTACCATACTTCGATTATAGTGTATCAGTTATCATTCGTAACTTTACCACATCATCTGATTACTCTATATCACATCACAACGTCATGGACCGTTTCCTAAAGAAACGAACAGCTACAGACAGTGACCCATCATCAAGCTCACCACACAAGAAACAGAAGATACCTGCATCAGCAAAACAAGGGGATATCTCAGCAGCTTGGCGAGCTCAAGAGTTTGGTTCACATTTTTACGAATCTGGGGGGAAACTGTTCTGTAAGCCCTGCAATACAGCTGTGGACCACGCTCGGAAATTAGTCATCCTCAAAAAAAAGAACTACACCCTCAGTAACACATAAACAGACCTAAATTTGATAAGAGCGGCGGTTATACGTTTAGAATTTCCAAAGTCCTTGAGAAAATGCAAAAGAAAACCGCACAATTCCCGCACAAATTCCGAAAAAATCGCCGCACATTTGCCGCATAATTGGTAAAAATTTACCGCACCTTACCGCACATTTTAATGATGTTGCATTCTGGAAATTATCTGATTTACTATATGCATCTGTTGAAACCTGATCATATAAAACTAAAATAATAGTCAAATTATGAGTGATACACGCAGTGATCGACCGGGATCCCGGCCCCGGCCCCGGATACGGCCGGGATTTGTGTTTTTTCCCCGGCCCCGGCAAAATAATTTTCAAAATCCCGGCCCCGGCCAGAGGCCCCCAATCCCGGCCCCGGCCCCGGCTGATTTTGTCAATTTTTGCCGGGATTTCTCGTATTT